GTTCATGACACATAAAGGTGTGGTGTTTTTCTTTCCCTTTAATTTCCTTATTCATTCTAGGTACCCAAACTTTCCAAACTGATTATGTAAGGACACCACCTGCATCAAAATATACTTAAAATCAAATACCAATGTCAAAGAGAATAAAGAGTGAAATATAATACGACATTGACTTTTTTTATACCGTCTGTGGGTAGGAAAGTGGGCGGAGTCTGTCATAATCTTCTTGTCCTGCTGTATCCCAAAGGCCCAGGTTCACTGGCTTCCCATCCACCATAACATTGGCAGAGTAGTTATCGAACCTGGGAGAAATGATATGAGGACGAGCCAAATCCATCAGACTTAACATAAACTGATAAAATATTAATATAGACATAAAATGTGACAGGAAATAAAAATGAAACTAAAAGGCAAATTGGGAAACAGGCTCAGAACTGATGCACAGTGTCTTTTGGCCTCTTCAGTTCTCTTGGAAAAGAATCATCACCCTTATAAATCTGGCTCTGGTGAACCCAAAATGTTGTTTATTCACTGCCATGTGTGCCAGTGCACGCCACACTGACAGTGATACAGATCAACATAGTTTCCACAGGTGGTCTAGAATCAGATAAAGTGTGGGTTTTTCTCATAACTTTTTCTACAAGCAACAAAATTTGCATCTAAAAAGGCAGCAACCAAAGAGCAACATGCTACCTAAATTATGTAGTAGCTGTACAGGAAAGAAGGCTGGAGATAAATAACAAACTGCTAATGTTCATCGACCCCTAGTCTTACATAAATAAATAAATCACTCAGCACAGCCTCAGATACTTACACCGTGGGGATGTACTCTCCAGGAAAGGCATTGGTGGTGTAGCTGATGAGCAAGCAGGTCTTACCCACAGCTCTGGAAGAAAGAAGAGGAACTGTGACTTAAGGATGTATGCAAAAAGCCAGTCTGGGTACAAATGGATATGTCTTCCTCTTTTGTATGACTGGGCCAGAGTCTTAACCATTTCTGCAATCACACATTTGGTCAACAAAATGTCAGAAAGAAGTGGAAAAATGTCCATCATGAGTTTCTGAAGCCCAAGTTGATGCAATCAGACTCTGGTTTATAGAAATGGTCCCCACAACTTAAAAAATATCCAGTTAACTTCCACAGAAACCAGTGAACCGCATTTTTGCTTGTAAAGTGACTTTCACTATTAATCACTTCTCAGAATTCCCGGGGGGTGGGGGGGTTTTCGACTATTGGTCTTAAGTGAAGTTCCCCTTATTCAAGATCGAAAAGAACAACCTAAACACAGCTATAGGCCCATCCGCAACTCCGCTGTTGTGGTATCTACCACACCCTTAACAACAAATGGTGTGTTTGCCTCCCACGTACTGTTACACATTAAAGTCAATCTTAGCTCGTTTTAAAACCTCTGTCAATCTTGGCTGCTGCAGATAAAATACCGAAACCGAGTTTTAACTTTTAAAAAGCTAAAAACAACGCATGTGTAACATAACAGCGCGCTGACAGGACTAACACAAACAAGGAGCATCCATCTTCAAAATTCTCAGTTGATAAGCAATGATTGCCATAGTCTAAGTTAAAATTTGATTTAGAGGGTTCGGTGAACCACTCAGTGATGTCCGTCTCACCGAAGTGTGAGGAAAAACTATGTAAATGGGATAACGTTAATTTAAGTGAAAGATTAGCCAATCACTCGCACTCTAGCTATTCCATTTGGGAATAGTTAAGCTAAATCAACTAGATTTGTACTAGAAGAGTTCTATATTGTTAATAGAAAATTATTAGCAAAATATGAAATCCATGTTAACATACTGGTAGATAAAGTCAAGACTTGGCAGCAGGTTAACTTTACTCGTTTGGAAAAATCCGAAGTAAAAGACTTCGGTTAGCTAGTTTAATGACAGTGTTTTCAAATAACGTTATAGCTTATTATTTAGGTACAAAATCACTTGTGAGACTGGAGGCACAAACTAAAAGTCAACTTACCCGTCTCCGACAACAACACACTTTATGGCCTGCATTACGCCGCAGCTAGAGAATGCTAAGTTAGCCCGGGAGCCAGCTAACGTTAGCGTTCAAGTCTTTTCCTTTGTCCGGAATAACTCGCTGGTGAAATGTTGTAACAGCGTGTCCCAAATTCCCGTCGATTTTACTGCAGAACTCCTAGGATGTGGAACAGCTTATAAGAAACTTACAGCAACTTATCTTGTTCTTTAACACAAGTCTACTCAAAAATTCCCTCGCACCATTCCCATGCTTTCTTGGTCTAATCGGGAAGCTATGAAGCAAAACAGGGGACACCACCCCTGAGATAAAAATGAAGTTAGCCATCGCCACCAGATGGTGCTTCCGGTATACTGCGGTTGATACGCCCACAGAGACTTTGATAATCTGAAACTTCATCAAAAACAGCAACGGTCAATCCACCAGTTTTACTAAATTCAGAGAATATATTCTGACAAAATATGTAGGGACGTTAGTTGTTTAAATAATTAGACTCGGTGGGTTAAAATCAAATAATAGAAAATAAGGAATAAGACGGACTGTTTAGGGTGTGACACTCCAGGTAGGAACTGACGTCAGTACAGCAAGGCTGGATCAAAGTGTTTCCCAACCTTTTTGGCACATATTTTACATTAGAAAAATCACAAGGCACACTACAAAACAAAAATGTCACAAAAATATATTTATTGAAATATAATGAAAATCTAGTCTCAATTTACTTACTCAGTGTGAAACCTGGGCCTGTTTAGTTGAACACAATTGATTGATTGATATTCTTGCAGGAATTTAAGAAAGACATACACTTTTTGTCTTTATAGCAGTTACAGTATGCTTCCCCACTATAACTGAATCCACAGGCAAGATAAGGATAAGGATAATCACCTTTATTGGCCAAGTATGTTACACACAAGAAATTTGTTTCCGGTACAAAACCGAGGTAGCCATCTGTGGCGCCAACTCAACCGATGGCTCTGACCATCTGAGGTAACTTGGGGGTTTCAGTAGTGATGTGACGTTCCGTATCGAGGATTCGAAGCGTGTGCCGAGTAGGGGAGGGGGCGTTTCCGCGATGCGCGTATCGAGGTTTGCGTCAGTTAGGGGAGGGGCTGAAAATGATGACGTCCGACGCCTCGCTGCCCGGCTGTACCACGTGACTGATTCAGGAAGTGGTTCGGATTTTCAAAAAAAAAAAAGAAAAATCGCCTAAGACCTGCCACAGTGGAGAAACTGTTGTTTTTAAATAAAAACCAATGATGTGTCCCATAAACCATAATCACTGGCCATACCTCAACGTTACAAAAGCACAATCATTGTCCATACCCCAAACCCAACCACCCTCACCTCACTGTAAATAACAGTTTTATTCACAGGCTTTCTGCAAAATGCCACACACTTCAAATTCATGCCAACTGATATTGTTGCATCCAGTAGATGTCCTACTAGAGCAAATGAAGCTTCAAGAAGCTTTGCGCTGGAGTGAACCAATAGGATGAAAGGCTTCATTGCTTCATGAAGCTTCATCTGCCCATCACTAGGTTTCAGTGTCTTGCCCAAGGACACTTCGACATGTGGACTGCAGGCACCGATATTCGAACCTCCAACCGAGAGACGACTGCTCTACCCACTGAACCACAGTCAATAATACTTTCATTGTATTGTCTTGAGCTTACCTTTTTTTGCTTGCTTCTGACCACTACTCATGCTAAGGCCTTCACCTGGGTCAGAATGTTCTCCAGGATCCAGGTCAGATTGACTACTTTTTCTTTTCAAATATTTATCCATTGCCATTACCTGCAACGTTGTCTCACTCGCAGCATGACTATGTACTTTCTTATTTAGCGCTAACTGCTCTCTAGTGGAAGAGCATGTAATTGTTCTGCCTGTGACTACACGCCGCTCACTTAGAGTACCAATCAGGTGAAATTGGATAATCTTCCACTGCACACCTGATGATTTCTCACGGCACATTTATGTGCCGCGGCACAGCGGTTGAGAAACACTGGGATTAAGAATGTTGTGAAATTTAAATAAACAATTAAATAATTTAGAAAAAATATTGATAAACTTTTTCCATGTACACTTTTTAACAGGAGATGTTCTGTTTCACAATCAAGTAACCCATTCTTTGTCTAGCTCAAAATTGATATTGCTTAAGTTAGATTAACTTCAATATTGTATACACAATATATTGTTTATTTAATCTTTATATTCTATGTTTGTTTGGCTCGTTTGCAACTTCTACAGCTGCATCATTGAGAGCATCTTGACCAGCTGCATCACTGTCTGGTACGGCAGCACTACTGCTATGGACCGCAAGCGCCTGCAGAGAGTGGTAAAGACTGCAGAGAAGATCACCAGGACTCCACTGCCCTCTCTGCAGAGCATTTACCACCGCAGGGTGTGTAGGAAGGCTGCCTCCATCCTCAAAGATTCCACCCAACCCT